TCTGTATGGGGGGGGGGTGTACTGTATGTATAATGTTTGTGTGCGGGGGGTGTACTGTATATATAATGTTCGTATGTGGGGGATGTACTGAATGTATACTGTTTGTATGTGGAGGGTGTACTGTATATATATAATGTTTGTATGTGGGGAGTGTACTGTATATATAATGTTCGTATGTGGGGGTGTAATGAATGTATACTGTTTGTATGTAGGGGAGTGTACTGTATGTATAATGTTTGTACGTGGGGGTGTACTGTATTTGCACTGTTTGTATTTTAAAGAACGAAGGGATCCGGGCCATGCTTACTTTTCAAGTTTCACATGCAAAAAGAATAGAATATATATTAGAGGGGAATTTACTAAAAAAAAGTGTAAAACGGCCATTTTGTTGTACTGTTTCCATACTGCAGGTGTACTTCATATATTTATGCTATATAAACTTTATTTAACAGCTTAAAAAAAAAAAAATAGTCTAGGGAACATACTGTATTAATGTACTCTACTGCATATAATTTGTGAACATTTACAAGATGTGTACACTTTGAACTCTCTTTCAGGCTGAAAGGGACTGAACAAATTCATACCGAGATTCTCTATGTTCACATGTGTCCCCTACCCCTGCCCCTCACTAAATATATACACAAGTGATAATCTCTTTCCCACTCTTGTTAGGCCTGTTCCATCCTTATAATGTTATATGTTAGCTGTAGCAACACATGGGGTTTCTTTTTGTCTTTAACAAAGAACATTTTTTCATCTCAAATTTTCACAGGCTGATAAGAAATATAATTTAACATATTTGTTTATTTATTAAGTTAAATAATTACAGCTTTCCTTAGTAACAGTTAGATTAGTAAGCTTTAAAGCATAATTTCTAAACTCGTGATAGTATGTAATTTTAGTTCTGAATATTCTCATCTATATAATTCTTACATATTTATTTAGAACAAATGATTTTTTACAGCCGCTTTTAGATTTAAATTTAAAGAACATTACTTCTGTCTGTAGGAAATGATGAAATGAATTAAATGATGTAAAACTACTAAAATGAACTATATTAAGAAATTTAGTTAAAAGAAGTGATCATCCTCTGATAAAACATTCAATTATCAAAACATATGGCACTTTTCTTTTGTCGTGACAACCTGTTGTGTGAAAACTCTTAATTTTGCAAACTTTAGACTGCCTTAATTCTATACTTTCGCCTATTCAAAATATTTTAATTTATGTAACTTAATATGTGTTATATATCTTCATGTATATATTTACATAAACAGCTTCATATCCCTCTATACCATTCAGAATATTTCACTGTAATTGCTATCATCTATACATTTAAACATTTAGCCTTCAGTATGTTTATCACGCTTAATATTATATTCTAACTGAAGACCTGGCGACTTGCCTTTTTACCGCAACCTCTGCTTGACAATGTTTAACTGATCAAAATACTTTTTCCTACAAAATTCTCAGAAACCCACTCTTTCTACAGAGGAAATCCGGCTCCCTTATTGGACAAAGGAAGTGTCATGTGACCAAACCTTGATCCTGATTGGTCGAGCACCAATGACGTAAAGGGACTCCGCTAATGGCTAAGCCGCCTGTTGAATGTCGACGGGGATGATATTTCTCCCGAAAAATATAAGAAAAAATTACAATGACCGTCATTTAAAATCATACAATTTTCCCGCATTTAAGTAGTTCAGATAATAATTAAACATTTTCTTTATCCCTGATCTAAACTAAATGCATTATATCCCTGTTTTCTTCTGTTCATCTTTCTCTCTGTCTCTGTTTCACTGTTCACACATCTCTCTGGAGTCTGGGGTTCCAGAACAACTCGGAATACCCTAAAACGCAATTCAGATATAGAGTGGGGTGGGGTTGACTTTGGAGTCCTCCCCCTAGGGCTGGGCGTTGTTCTTGAAGAACAATCATTCTTTTATAAGAACAAACGGAACTATGAAGAATTCTATCCCGATCGTTCCGAAAAAAGAACGGAACGCAAAGAACGTGTTCTTAAAAGACATTGGAATGGAACGGAACAGATATTAGCTTAAAAGATTGTTTCAAAATGCAGGTGTGCGTTTCTGACTTAAAACGCGTTCTTGATAATGAACGTTCTTTATTATCAAGAACATTGCTCGGCCCAGAAATTATCTAACCTTATCCTTTTAACCCTAAATTCAAAACATATAGTTTAAAAAATATTTTGGGCATTGTGGAACTTTTAATTATAAAATCGGCATTTTTTACTTCAACATCTTTTTTACCCCCCCCTAGCAAAAGTCCTAGTTGCGCCTCTGGCTGAAGGCCCTCATTCTAGAACGGAACGGAGTACAATTTTTAAAATGTCGGAACGTGCCCAGCCCTAGAGGTCATTCCTCCAAATCTCTAAATAAATTGTGCTAAATGTTATGGGGAATCCTCTTTAGAATGCATAAAGGGAGTCCCTGGAAATATTTAGGAAACAGGGCCAACCTATTCTGCATGGTATTTAGACCAAAAGATTATCTTTTATTTGAACATTTTTCATTAAATAAACTTCCACTGACCTTCCTTTTTTATATAAAGTTACTTTGTGTTTATTTGCTTCAACCCCTTTTGTTGGAGACTTTTGTTATAGATTTATTTTGATTCAACCCAAAGCTGTAGACTTATTTGTGAACGACCAATTTTTTTTATTAGCTTATAAAAATGTACATTTTTTCTAAATGATTCACTCTTTTAAAATTTTCTGATATAGTCCCTTAAATCTCAATTTAGAGATATAAACAATCTAATATGATGTGGGACACTCTGTATATCCTGATCCAATAAGGTGAACCGTTAATAGGGTTTATTAGATAATACTGCTCTGGTCTAGTTGATATATTGTTCAACCAAACAAATACAATAAACATTCTCAAATAGTTCAAATGGTTACACGGCCAATCATATAAATATTTATTTATCTATATAACTATCAATCTATCTATAGTTAGCTATTTAGCATTGAAAAAAACCAACCAGAGTCCTAATTTAATTAATTTGAGCCGAGTCTCAAATCAACCAAAAACCGTTTTCAATCGAGCACGCGCCGGCTTAAATCGTGA